ACTGATTGCATTTTTGGCATCAGTATCGATCACTAATCACCCCCTGATAGTTATTTTGAAAATATATTTCATGTACAGAATTGACCCCTCTACAGATTTATTATAAGTATAGATGATTGGAAGAATATCTAAATGGGAATAACATTTTAATCCTTCAAGCTCCGCGAATCTAGACACAATAGATAAATCAATTGTTACGCGGTAGCCGGCTACCGCTTGGGGGCTGAGAGGTTGAGCATTCTGGTGAATGACCAATTAGTAACGTCAATTTTATATTTGACATTACTATTTGGTCATTAAACTCGTAGCTTTAATATACAAAATAATACTTTAAGAATATCTTGTATGTGCAATAAAGACAAATACCTACAACAGTCTAAGTCGGATCGCGACAAAAACTGCGTCAGACCGCAACTGACCCAGATCCTGCACTCAGCCTGATTGGACACGATCCAATGCCACTCGAATTGTATTCATGGAAAAACCGATATGTATCTTATGATAGTGAATACATGGTAATAATACCCCAGGCAAATCCACCATACGAGTACTTGTATGAGTAGGGGACCAACTCATCCCCAATAAGAGGCGCACGCTGCCACTCATCGTTTTACCCGTAGGTAAAGGAAAAACTATCTACTTCAAAAATAAGTCTCTAGGCCTCTCACGTGCAAACTAGGTAATTAAGTGACACCAAAAGTGAGATAATTTATATTCACGACTTTCAACGTTTCTTTTCTAAAAATACTTCTACAGAATAAACCACTTCATTAGGGAAGTAGGTCTAGCTAAAAGCTATCCTTTTAGTTCCAAGGGAAAATACTAACTGTAAGTAACTTGCACAGCTGAGTGCGACGTGTGGTGGTTCTAAGTTTTATTTATCTTAGTGGATTTCAACTTTAGGTACAAAACCCGTGGAGATAGTTAATTGAAGAAACCAGTAGGACGTTTAAGTTACCCTTCCTCTAATGGGTAAAGTAACTACCACCCTTTAAGGGCACGTAACTACCACCCTTTAAGGGCACGTAACTTAATTTATTTATTGGTTTCTTCAGTTAACTATCCCAACTTGATTTGTACTGTAACATCTTATATGGCTCTTTTTATGTATAGTGGTATTTTAATGTATAATTATAGATAAAAATGGTCACGATACTTATAACATCTGCTGTTATTCATGCATATGAATGATTTAAACATGTCGGTGAAAGTAAATAAAAATTGTACACATTTAAATAAAATCTCTGGATCTGTCAGACAGCTATTCGAATTCAAACGATCATGCTGTTTTAAAAAATCATTTTATTTGCTCCCGAATCTCATAAATATTTTGAATATGCCTTTCATAAAAAAACATTTCAAAGAGATAAAAAGGATGTTCGATGTACAAACTGCATTTGAGATTTTGAGCAAAATAAAATTTTTTCAATATCATATATAAATTATTTGAAACACTTATTGTAAAATAAATAAACTAATGATTCGCATTCTTTTGCAAGGTTTTTTTTATAAACTTTATTCAAGAGATGCGGATCTCGTATTTTTGGGAAACGAAAAATAATGCAAACTGGTACAGGAAAATTACCAGGAAAATTACCTACACTTACACAACTAATGATATTTTTTACCTTTTCCAATCGGGTACCGAGTGAATGAGAATGGGGGAAAGGCTATGCTTATCCGTTCCCATTTTCTTCCCAAACATGGTTACGAACAAACCTGAAAAACCATCTAGTTAGAAAAACAAAATTTTCCGCTACATGAAAATTCCAGGGTGTTTTTACCAAAGGAATTTAGTAATTAATGTTTGTTTACTCGCAGCAATCAAATTACTGCGGGTTGTGTTGCCATGTTCTCTGCTACGGTACCGCATTAGATCACATAGCCTGTAGGAAATCTGCCTGAACTTTAACTTTAGCCACTAGCAGAAAGTTCTTGAAAATCACTTTGCGTAGCAAAAGTTCTTTGTGGTTTATAAATGAACAACAACTAATTTATGATGCCTGATACTCTTACACCCGTATTCACAAACATTACTATGAGGTCTCACAGTGCACGTGGACGCACAGGATGCACACAAACCAATCACAGAGCTCTATTCTACGCAGTGCGTTCGATTTGCTGCTTCACTTAAGCAAGCATCGTTTGTGAATACGGGTGTTAGTCTACTTACTCCTTTATAAATGGTTATAGAAGCGAATAGGCCCTGAGTGTAGATATACCTAATCCAAGAACTTATTAGTAATCTGTGCTCATACTATGTAATATGTAGGCTAAGTTTTTATACAGTAATAAATGTATTCTTATTCTTATAGGTACTAAAAGTTCCAAGGCGTGTAACCTATTTTCCCTCACAGTCTGTATAAGTCCAAAGGTGAGTAATGAGTATATACAGAGTTGGTGTTGGTCGGCGCGCTTCTCCAACTTATAATGTGATTTCGCGAACAGATCACAAAACAGGAAACAATAAATTGGCTCACGCGAACGTTCGCAGTTGTAATTTGTCAATAACACGTTTTAGGTAATCGGGGCAACTTCTAAATTATCTGGAAATTGAAACTACGAACTACTTAACTAAAGTTTCTAGCTCAGAATTATTTACTTGACTGATTAAACTTGGGGAGGAACGTTTTAAGTTAATCGTTTTACCTAATTAGTGAGATTTTTATAGAATAGGTAGGAGTACCTACATAGATTTTATGAATGTTTAATGATGACATAATAAACAATGTGTCCTTTTATGTATTGCATCACTGTCTTTGCATAGTAAAAAATACATAGTAGCAGTATAATGCCGTAATAAAAAATAGTACTTAATATGGACTAAGGAGGAATACATTATGTAAGCCCGGATGAGTTTGAGTTTTTATACTTTTGATTATAGGTAGGTACTCTCCCAAAGATGTATGCGAGTAATTAAGACACAACAGATACCTAATTGAATATCAAACTTTATTACTCAAAGAATACATTTGTGTGTTCTTTGTCAGCCTCGGTTAGTTTCAAAATGATCTCAACGAGGTTTTCCTTTAATAAAAGCGAAAGACTGAAGGAATAATAAAGGCTTGTATTTTTAAAATTAATTCTTAGTTGATTCCTTCCTTGTTAACTTACCCAAGAGCGCGGAGTTATTACTGGTCGTGACAAACATAGTACAAGCTTTGCTTAGTTTGGGGCTAGCGGCGCAGTGTAAAATGACCAAGGATATTTATTAATTATTTATTTTATTTAAGTGCCTTTTTCCTGTGATGCGAAATAAATCCGCATCACAGGAAAAGGGCACTAAAGCTCATAGCAGACTTATCAACTCGGAAAAGGATCAACAACACCGTATCGCTTTTCGCGAGCTGTCATAATGATGCACGCGTTTACGACGGTGCGGAACGTTGCAGTATGAAGACTATGAAGTTACATACAAAGAATACTGACCGCCTCGAGTTGACACTGTTACCCTGTTATAGATGACCCACGCTGAACTGTCCCACCAAACTCAATGACAGGGGGGCGCTACCATCGTTCAACTATATGGTTTCCAACATGGCAAAAATCTGAACCAGCGATCCGGTATTGACGGTGGCGCCCCACTGTCAATTTCATCGACAGGACAGTCCAGTATTTTGGAACTATACTATGTCTTTCCGGGATGCTAAATGTGCGCCGACCTTAATGGTCCTTCATCATATCATATTCATTTCTCAAATATTACACCGATATCCGAACCCTTTTAATTAGCCATAAACCTTGTCTTCTAACCGCTTTTCAGCGGTTCTCGTGTTACGACTTGCGGGCACTAAACTAAACCCTCGTTTAAAATCGGTGAACCAACAAATTGTTATCTGTAGTCAAATGGTGATGTGTAATTATCGATGAGGCACCTTTTGTTAAACTATCTTTTGTGCGAAAACTTTCTTGGAAATCCATAGGAGAGGCCCCTTCCAACCGACCGTGACCCGCGATGCCCGCATTCGGGCTCTTCACGCGACCTTCACCAGATCATCGGTCCACCGAATGGGAAGCAAATTCACATTAAATCTTCTAATGTGTAGTCGCCACTCGAAAACGTTTCTGTTCAGTAAGTAACCATCCGTTTCATGAAAATTGTGTTAAATTAAATTATCCCTTGGGCAAAACGCCTTGTCACATCCTTTGATGTTTTTTAGATCTACATTAATATTAGCTATTGCCATGTTATCAATATCAACATTACCCAATAACATCCCAGCATATCGATATTTATGACGTGTCGATAAAAAATCCGAACATATTATCGATATTTATCGAGTGTCGATAAATTAGTGACAGGACGGCAGCAGGCTCTATCAATCTCGTAGCCCCCGGAATCCTTATCGCCGACACAAGCACACGCATCCCAAATTGTTATTAGCCTTTTTACACGTTTTATTATAACCGTTTCAGGGTTCTGTATTTTACTAGTGAAGCATAATTTAATTTTTAAAGTACTAAAAACAAAGAAAAATAAAAATAACTATTATTTAAAGAGTTTTCCCGAACAATATTTACGAGTAGGTACTAATAAAACACGACGTTCCTTTAAGTTTAAAAACATTTCTTTTTCGTAGCAAATGCGCAAATCATTGTGTATGTTATTATAGATTAAGAAATTTACCTGCATTATCTTAGCTTTATCCTCATTAATTGTATAGTGTACTGAACCTTCTCCGTTGAAACCCAACGGAACACATCCATATATTTTACGATGTACACAAAAACGTGCCCCACACGTCACGTCTCGTAATAAATTCTAAGAAAGGATCCTTGGGTCACAATTTATTTGATTTTCTCATAAATTACATACCTACCCGTCTTTTTATACTACTGTAAATTGATTAATAAAAAAAGGCTATGTATATTAACCTTTTTACTCATATTTAGGTATCCTTTTGTTTATGACCAAGAAAAACAAAAAACTGAATGTCATATATTTTTGACAGTTAAGTAAGTGTCAAAATACTAAAATTTGCCTACTGAATGTTCAAAAGTTCAAAATAAATTAAACGGAAAGAAAGAAAGAAAAGACAATGACGTGGTGCTTTCATGTAGGATTGAATCTTCCTAAAGGACAATGTAAGATATTTGTAAATACTTTAAATAATTTAAATCTCATCAATCTCTATAATACGCGGGTGAAACAGAAAAACCAAAAAATCTCGATGGCCGGCGTCGACAGTGTTATTTACTTACCTATCTAGAACACTTTAGAAAATACCTTTTCAGAAACAGTGGGTGAAAACTAATAAACCCAAAGTTTAACTTTCCTAAAAGAACATGATTGATGATGATGATGATTGACCAGAATGTTGGTCCCAATGTTGGTCCACCGAGTTGGTTAAAAGTGACGATATCGCCTGGTGTTGGTATACAAAATCTGAGGGAAAAGAGCTGAAGCAACAGCTCCTTAAAAGTACATCTATTTATTAGTAGTGTCAAAAACTCTAATATTTATTTAGACTAGCTATGCTTGCATCTTATGTNGAGCTAAGGAGATAAAAGTAGGCTTGGAAGTTTATATTGAAAGTCCTATGTGTTTAAAGTAAGAGAGTTGAAATTTAAAATGTATGCGCTATAGATGCTAAGAGCGGATTTTACGAAACTCCACCCCTAATGGAGTAAAACGAGGTCCACGCGTACAAAGTCGCGGGCGGCCGCTAGTATAAATATAAGTAAGTAATATTATGTAAGTAAGCTACTTTAAAAATCACGAGTACCTACCTACTTCAATTCTCAAAGGCAAACAGGGTCTGATGATGGAGCTGGAATGTGGCCGTAGGAATAGGCTAGTTTCTTAAAAAACACTTTTAGTCCGTCAATTACACCATCAAAAAATATTGGACACGGTTAGGTAATTTAGGGAAGTTTATTTGCACTTAACATGAAAAATATGGTATCAATGTACTGTGTACCTATGCACCTTCAGTGGCAACAACAAGGTCTACTGAGTACCTATAGTCTACTAAAGGCATGAAATAAATTAATGTTCACCAAAAATTAAAACCAACTCCAAAACGAATCACCAAAAGGTAGGCTGTCACCGACTCCGAAAATATCAATCATGATATACGGGCATTTGTAATCAGTATCCACATTTTTTAATAAGCTCTATAGAAAAAATTATCAATACCACTTTATCTTATTTTTTTTAACTGTGGTATTTTCGGNACACCAGCGTTATGAGTCTGGGTGTTCTGGGCCCATAACCTGTTATCTTGAGTAAAACGCAGGTTATAAACTTGTGTAGTTTTATTTATTGTACTAGGACAAACGAGAGCGTACAGAGCTTTTTGAAAAGTGTAATGGCTTCCTAACCGGAAGCGATCAGTGTTACCAACATATTTTAACTCAATATTACATTGACTTAGAATTATTCCATAGATATAATAACATTATGTACGCGTAAAAATGGTTTTGAAAGTAATTTACGTGCCACGAAATGCTATGTAATGCTGTTCATAATATGTAAGTATAATTTGATACTTCCCCTTTGTCGGCAGTGCGCTTCGTGGACCAATGGCCCCTCTTGAACCCCAGCGAGCCGCTCTTCATACTGGCCTCGTACCTCGCCTTTGTCCTGAAGGTCGGGCCCGCCTTAATGGAGGGCCGCCCTCCGGTCCAGATAAAGGGCTTCCTCATATTTTACAACGTGATCAAAGTTATCAATTCCGCCGTTTTAGCGTATAAGGTAAGGTAGAGTCAAGGTTACTAGCAATCGGGAAAGGATTTTATTTATAGAAATAAAACATATTACCTGAAATCTAGGAACAGTCTTGTTTGTTTTCCCGACTGTAAATAAGTTTTAAGCTAACTCTTGTGCGTGTCAGAAAAGACTAGTTTATCTAAAAACTTTAGGCTTAGGTACCTAACATTTCCAGTCTGATATGGGTTTGACTGCTAGTAACATTTATCAAGATTCAAGACATAGAAAGCTGAAATATTTGGTTTTGTATATTATCAAACAATAGATTAAGTATCTCTTGATTTATATTATCTAAAACTACTCGAAACAGTCGCGTAAAATTATGTAGTCGATCAGAAAGTAAAATAATATTTATTGTTTTAAATTATCTAAAACTACTTGAAACAGTCACGTAAAATTATGTAGTCGATCAGAAAGTAAAATAATTTTTATTACTCTCTCATACTCTCTCATGTCAATGTTGAAGTGGAAATGAATATTAACTTCCACTGATATTCTACCTTTATATCGCGTTTAAATGCAATTCTAATTTGTAAGCAACACTGGACTGGATAGCTCAACGCTCGCTAATTGGAAACTCATTATAGAGGCATCAAATGCATGCGCTCATAACTGTAGCCTACAGCAATCATTGTTAAACATGTTCAAAACAAGAAGATAATTTTCAGAATATGTTTATATTGAAAGTTTTCCTGTAAACCTTTCACTTAACTTTTTAATCTTAATTTCTGATCTAGCTTATAATCCTACCATACCGCCCCGTTGTTTGATCACACGCTAATTTTATTGGATGCAACGCTTACAGCTTAGATATTGAATAATACAGCCTTTATGCTTTCCTTTGTTAATGTCAATATTTGCACACGATGATACCCTTGTGAATCGTACAAAAACCACAGTTTTCAAATGGCACTAAATCTACATTGAATACCCAATAGGATTTATATAAACTCGGATTTAAAAGAATGGTTGGCTGTCGACAAAAAATGTTCCCTGATTCGTGATTTAAGCTCAATGAATGGGCCATTTATTACGTTGATTAAAGTCTTAAATCATGATTGCAATTGGAATCATATTGAGCCTTTGACAAATTAATTCTGAGACTCAATCACAACATTTATTGCGAAGCAAAATAACCATTAAGTATCTAATAATATTTTTCTCCTTTTCAGTTCTTTTCTTACATTGTCGATAAGGGTCTATTTCCGAGAAAATGTGAACATGATGAAGTAACTTTATACGTAAGTGTATTGTGAGCAATTTACGTGGGTGTTTAATAAGATTATGTGATTTGTCATAACATTTTTATTTGTATCTTAATATTTTTATCGGAGTTTGATTTTGATTCCGTTAATTAGATGATGGAAATGACAGTTGACCTTTAGAATTCTTGGATAAAAACCACGTAGTAGTAATATTAATATAGGTCACAACTCTGGGGCCAGACTTTATGAGCTTTTGACATGGCTCAGATTGCCAGACTAACGTGAGGTAGCCCCCAAAGACCATCAATTAAATTTAAACTTCAAGCAATATCGTATCACAAAGCGATTCATCAATTTGTCCCACCTGGGAACCGAACCTCCGGATCGAGACAGCATAACTCTATCCACTCCAAAGATGCATTCATATTTTATTGCAGACAATCGCCGCTCTCTACTGGAAATACATGGCCACAAAGATCCTAGATCTGTTCGACACGATATTCTTCGTCATCCGCAAGAAGTACAACCAGGTGACGTTCCTCCATGTCTACCACCATTCGTTCATGGTGGTGATCACGTGGGTGTGTCTCAAATACGACCCGTCGGACCACTGGGCCTTCATGGCGGTCATGAACTGTCTGATACATTCGGTCATGTACACTTACTATGGAGTGGCAGCCCTGGGACCACGGTACGCGAGGTACTTGTGGTGGAAGAAGTACTTAACTATGATGCAGTTGGTAAGTGCGTTATCTTTGTTTTCGTCAAAGACATCAAAGTATTTACGCTATGTACTGTATATTGCATAAAGTACGAGTATGATGATTACGAATGACTAGGCCATTATCTAATTTCAGCGAACATTTGTGCTATTATTGACCGTAAAAGACCCAAGTACACGCCTCGCTATTCAAAAATATTTATTTTTAATTTAAGTTAAGACCTCTATTCTGTATATCTTTTTATCAGACTTAATTGCAAGCCGTAACTTGAAAGACAATAATTAACTCTTCAAAGCTAAAACATCAAATTCTTTGAACTCTCTTGACTCGCGGAGCACATTATGCGAGGGAAATTATCAATTTTCTGTAATAATGCGCGGAGCTAAGCTCTTATTAAGTAAATAAACGGGGCCTTATCAACCTTTTTGTTTCTAAGAAAATTAACTCTGAGATGCAGACATAAAGGTGCGACTACTGAAGCTATGTGAAGATAAGGATTGCTATGTCGAGAGAATTTTAGTTAAGTCTCAGTACTAGCGAGGCTCCGTCCGTAGCCTTTTAAATTCAAGCATCACAATCCCTTGCAGATTTGGTTATCCATTAATTTTCTCCTACGCAGACGTCAAAACGGGAAGATTCTGAAAAGAAGCGATAGGTCATTGGCCTAACTAAACTAAAGTATAGTACACAATAGTAGACACACCCGTCTATATTTCGTAGTCCCGCTTCTTTTCGCGCGTCTCGTTTCAATGAATATTCACCCTATCGTACTCGAACAAGTCTATTAGCACGAAAGAGTTTATTTATGAAACATACTAATAAACTTCTAAGCGTCAAAAAATGAATAACAATAGAAATAGAAAACCTTATAAAATAAGCTCTTTCTTCAAAGATCATCCTTAAATTGTGCTTCAATGTCCAAAATACTAGTAGTAATACACAAAGTTTGTAAATTGAAATGCAACTTTTACATTAACCATTAACAATTTACAATGAAGAGTTGCTACCTACTACGATGTACACTTTGTATTGCACTGCACTCACGCGCAGAATGATCTTCGTAGCTGTAGTCTGTCTGTAGGCTACGGACTACGAAACACCGTAGCAATACAACGCGATTCTGTAACGTGTAGCTTTAACGGTGATCTTACAATCTTACCATGGATCTATTTTCTGATAACTTATTCTATTGTCTAATATGGTACTCATTTCTAGTCTGTATGATACTCATTTCTATTGATTAACCTAAGTTATTCAATACAAAAAAAATATTCATATTACTTGAAACGACCTCAAATATTTAAAATCGATAAAAGAATCTTTAGTTTCAAACTCTACCAGAAAAATAAAAAAGACAAACTGTATAAATTTTATTAAAATCAGTTTAGATTTGTTTAATAACTGTAAAGCAACAATCTTATTATGTATGCTTTCCAACAATTTACATATTTTGCAATCCTAAAGTGCTTAAAGAGGCGAGCGTTCTTTGGAACATCACAACTTCAAAGAACTTTCAGACTTGTATTAGGGAACTGTATACTTTGTGATATTATCCAAGCATGGTTATTGCTTTTGTTTTCGGTGTCCACTTTGGAAGTATCTGCTTTTGTTTTAAATAAGTGGACAAAGTTACTCTATCACTAGCATTCGGCCGCGGGTGCGCTGTTGTAGCTTTGAGTTGCAAGTAATATGCGAAAAATATAGATAGAGATAGACAAAGATATTTCTAAAATCAAACTTATTAGTCACTATAATTTTCACCATTACTTTTTGACATTATAAAGCTGATCCATATGACGCGTTTATTCGCGTTTACAATCGATAACGCGTTTTTACTCTTCTCTAGTGCTCTCTAATTAGCGGCACTCGAGTGACAGGACCTTACTCACAAATGGCTCCAAGCTTCCAACCTTCCAACCTGGAAGGTGTAAATAAATAAAAAAAATCGTTCATTACCAAAATAACAATTACATATTTTCTCTTAATAACGTTGGACTCCACACTAGGCAAGCCTATGTCGAAATGCGATAGATAGATCATATTTGTGCTTATTTAGCGCCACTATCGTAGCTATTAACGTGTGCCAGAAGCTTGCTTGCCAGTAGCGCCAGCTGGTGGTATAACGTCACTTATTCTTATTTCTTTTTCAGATACAATTTGTGCTGGTGATCGGTCACGTGGTCATCCAAACCTACACCTCCGAGTGTCCCATGCACGCCAGCTCGTACTGGATCGGACTGTCAAACCTCGCTCTCTTTATCTGCCTGTTCACAGACTTCTACAAAAAGCGGTACAGAGCTAAAGGAAATATGCCCATAGGCTTAGCCTTCACTAAGCAGGTCACAGAGTAAAAGTTTAGAAATAAGATGTTTAGTTGATTTCTAGAAAATAATGAACAAGTAAACAATGTATAGCTTATTTCATATCAGATAGAAACAAAACATTGTTTGAAAAAGTTAATGGAATAAAAGAAATAACAAATGAATGTCGCTCTTTGTTTTCGACAGTAAATTGCGAAACAAACCTTAAAAACATTTGTATGTGGGTAAAAGAAACATATATTGGTACTTAAGAGTATACGAGAAATTAACTGGTAAAAAACATGTGAAATAAAATCAAATGACGTTTTATTGCGTGCCGTTTTCGCTATTATTGCCTCTTTCCAGATAATAAATTTGCAATATAAGGTTTTCTCATTTTCTTTTTCGGCACGAATTATAGCGAACAGAGCACTCACGAGCAAAAAGTTGGCGAAATTATTTTATACTAACTTTTGTCCATGACTTCGCCTACATGGATTTCAATGTGACACAATGTTGTACTCGTAAAGATAAAAAAAATCTAATGGGTAATTTTGTAAATGCATGAATATAATTTGGAAGTACCTAGTGGATTTACTTCCTTTTCAAATACTTTTTCAACAAAATATCCAGTTCTATCTACATCTTAACTAAAATTTAAATAAATTAAGTCCACCTGTTAGGCGTGTAAATAGAATAAACAAACTAACAAACATTCATATTACCTACTTACTTAGATACGCGCCCCTTGCAAGTTCTACGTACTCCCTAAAATTTATAGACCCTCCAATTATTGCTTATGAAACCAGAAGATTTTTACACAAGATTATGCGTTAAATATATTATGTTTCATCAAATATAAATTAAAATTATCGGTAATACAAACAGAGTAGGCGCTAATAATTTTACCAAATACAGTGTGAGTCACGTTAAAGTGTACATATGAAAATATATGATACTAGATCTATTTTTATCGACAAAAAAGAGGTCAAAAAATTTTTGAGATTTTTTTTTATTTTTTATAGAATTTTTTTTCTTCCAATTACTTATTGTAAAGAAAACGTAATAACTTTTAAACTAAGCGGTATATCCTGATAAAATAAAAACAGTAATAATGCTAAATAACAGGCGATACTAAAAAAATACATGAAATACACAAAAAATGCCAACAAATAATAAAAAATGATACTTTTTGAAAAAAATCTGCTTAAAAATTCTTATTTTTTTGGTTATTTGATAAAGGACAATGGGCAAAATGGTACCCGGCTCCAATAGATATGTGTCTAGTATCGTTTGAAAGGTCTTACCAAGATGAAAAACTTTTACTATGACCACCAGCCTCAGATCTGGTTGCGTTCGAAGATAAAGATACTTTTTGTGTAACCTAAGTATCATACAGTATGAAGGGGGACGCGCTCGGGGCAGGGCACCGACGAGATGGTCGGACGCGGTGAGGAAGACGGTGGGTGGGAGTTTGCATCGTGCGGTCCACACAGCTTATGACCGCAGTCTGTGGAGGAACACTATCTGTGGTCGCGATCCTTATCAGTGAGGAAGGAAGAGACCGAGGAAGAAAAAGAAGAAGTATCATACGTGTCCATCGTATGGTACTTAGGTTTTGCGAATCAGGAAGGGTTTACTGTTCCAGCATCCTTCCTTAACTCTATAATTATTGATGGGGATATTGTGAAATAAATATTTTTATTTAAAGAAGTACTACCCCCTTATTAATAAAAAGTTACACCTAGGAAGAACCTTGGATTAAAATGACATTTCCATACCAAATGACAATTTAAGCCAGAGTTCAACTAAGGTATAACTTTTATTAATAAAGGGGTTAAAGTTTTATTACTTCTTAAGGGTTTTATTATGGGTTGCTAAAGCGAATAAACCCACAAGACCCAACAAGTCCACCCACAAGATGGAGCGACGACCTCACAAAGGTAGCGGGAAGGCGCTAGATGCAGGCCGCCACCAACCGGCCATTGTGGAAATCATTGGGGGAGGCCTATGTTCAACTGGACGTCCTATGGCTAAAATGATCACGATGATGATGATGAAAGCGAATAAAGGTCTAATAGCTTGGATAGTTCATCGTAGGTATAATCCTTTCCTTTTCAATGCTTCTTTTAGTTATATTAATAGATTGTACATTGTAGTCATAATACATACTCGTATACATGGATGATTGTGTTATACTTTCATTATAATACTTAGTGGAATTACTGCTTTCAATACGTGAATTAGATCTGGCCCCATAGCAGACATTTTCCTACATCTAAAGGCATTTTAAAATATATATTGGTTATGGCTATTGGAGCGGGTACCACTTTCCATACATTTGTGCCCATCATCCTTTCTCCAAAAAATGTCCCTATAACAAGTGGTTTTTATTACTTTTTATTATTCTCTATCGTATTACTTTTGTAAAACCAAAAATCACATGTCTCTATCCCTATCACAACGTTTGCTATGATCGTTTGAAGTAATTGGAAGAAAAAAAAATCGATATATTTTTTTTTAAATCTCAAAAAAATTTTGACCTCTTTTTTGTCGATAAAAATAGGTCTAGTTTCATCTATTTTCATAAGTATGTACACTTTAACGTGACTCACACTGTATAATAATTTTCCTTGTATATTTTCCTTGCTAACAGAAATTTTGTAAAATATTAACCGTTTCGTTTCGTTTCGAAATCGTATTTTTATGAAGTAGGTAGGTTTTGTTTTGCTGTTTTCAGTATGTAACTATGTAGTGAGCAAAAAAAAATTGTAAGGAAATTCCACAAACACCTTTTTTGCAAAATTTTTACAAAGTAACCATACCCGATTGAAACAAAATGGCCCATAAAATACGACGCTAACATTTTCGAAAATATAAGGCCCTGTGCTTCTTAGAAATTCAGGATTAGCCTACTTTTATGGCGCTACTTCCGAACAGCGACATCTGTTGCGAGCGGCACGAAACAAATCACGCGGGCCCTACATTTGCACCTACATGCAATTTGTTAGTGCCAACTTGAATAATTTGCCCATTTAGCGTGTCACCGGAATAAAATTCCCATGAAAGGGCGCGGCCACAGTGAAGAGCTGCCTCATATCAATGTCTATGCCCGCTAAATGGCCCCAGAATGCTCTTTATGGCGCTTGGCTATGCGCAGATCACGCACACAACATTATTTATGGCTACGTAATTATTTCTACAACGTACTAAACCTCATAAAGAGTAGATAATAACCGGATCTGGGCGAGTTGTTACAGCTATTGTGTGGACGACATTATTTGCAATATTTTCCACGCTAAGTTTGGTTGAAAGAAAACTCAACTGAGCGAAATCTTTTATTCCGAGCTAAGAATACATACTAGAAGTTAATTTAACTTTAGTGCTTTTCAAATCTTAATTGTTTGCCTTCATTAGGCTGCCTGGAAGTCCTGTCTTAAAGTAAACCTAAACAAACATTGAAATAAAATTGGCTCTAACCTACTTTGTAGGCATTAACAAATATTATTTTATCCCTGAGACTTGAGTAATTTAAGCTATCTTAAGTAACAGCAAAAAATGGAATATCACGCTTTCTGAAATTTGCGATAAACTCAACGCGGCTATAAATAATTATAACGAAAATGCTCGTGAATTACTCGCATACTTTTAATAACAATACACCAAGCCTATTGTGATATTTTGTAGATGGTAAGCTTTAAGTGCCTCCTTTGTATTCTGCTTGAAAAATGTTTTTCCTTAAAGGGGTTGTTGGCATGCTGCTTAATGTACACCAATCTTTGGTGTTCGTCGCCACAATATTATCTTGGATTAGTAAAGATTTGCATAACCTTCTGCTTATAAAATTAGCGTGCTTTGCGAAAGTAGAGCCAGTTTCTTTTTGTTTCTACAGTAATTTGACTAACTTAAAAACAAACTTTTATAAAAAAATAGTTTGATCACTATATTACATTAAATAAAACAGTATACCTAGTATAGATACCTACCTACATTTAAAAAACACACACATCGATAAAATAGTCTCATTTCAACTTCAAATCTCAGATACCTAATATAGGGCAAAAATCTCATATCTCTCGCTCATTTTGTTTACGCGGACGCGAAATCAATGTTGAATAAGCTTATTGAAACAAGGCTTCAAAGGAGATGTTGACAGGCAACTTTATCAATAAGCATTTTTCCGTTTTTGTGCAGACCCTCGCGCGTCCTTCGCATTGTTTTGAAAGATTTCTTACCCTCCATTGATCCGATGAAACGGAATAAGTTTGTTTGTTTTACTCCGATATCAGTTTTTAAACTTCACAAGACTCTTTTACGGATTGCAATGCGAATAACAAAGAAATGCGTGATCCATACCTGATAGAAATTTCTTAGTTTTAAACATAAGATTAACGTCTAATGATTCCGTTCTGATGCGGAAAATAAATGGTGTTAAAGTTTAATGAGTCTCTAACTAATTAATTAATGAAATAATTAGTGAATGGTGACTTTAAAAAAGTCTGAACGGTTTATCTATCTAAAGGAAGGATTTATTCGCATTCCATTATTGTAGTACGTGTAAAAGTGCTTTTAAAGCCTACTTACAGAAATAAATGAGTTTTATGAGTTTTTTTATGTTTTTATTGTCTAGTTTCGTCATGATAATCCCATTACAAAATTAGACACGTTAATTTTAATTTTGGCATCAGGCCTCGAACCCATTTTGTACCGCCAAAACCAATAAGTACCACTAGGCCAGTAGAATTAAACACAAAAATTGATTAAATCGGAAATAATTCCTACAAAAGATTTTTTNCATATAAATGGTATGGTGAAGTCAGAAAATCGATATCTTCATTTTAATTATTTTAATTTTCATACAAATCGGATTTTATTAAATTTATTTTGTATCACAATTAAAAAAAAAATTGATGATATCAAATTTCTGACTTCACCATACCACTTATATGACCATGTTAACATGGGCTAGTGTCGGCTCATATACCCATTTACCTAACACCCTGTATAGATAGATTAACTTTAGAAAACTTGTGTTACCTATGGTTGATTTTTTTCAAACGTCTTATTAAGTATCAAAAAATCTAATCTTAATACAATGCCACCATAACCTA